CTCACTACCTAAATCTCCTCTCCTCTCTCTCTCCTCTAAACCCTCTGTCTTGCTTCTAATCTCATCATTAACTGAAATCACTCCCTCCAAGGTTACCAGTGCTTTCTTCACTGCCATATTGAATGGCCTTTCCTCAATCCTCCTCACCCTCCTTGATCTGTCCGCAGTCTTTGGCCTCTCCAAGTTTGCATGACACTGCTCTCTCATATTTATCTGCTCCTATCTGTCTAATGATTCCTTACCCAGAGCTTCCAATTCTTGGCACAGCTCCTGGCATATAATTAGTACTTAATGAATGCATGTTGCCTTGGTTAAGGCAAGCAACATGCATTCATTAAGTGCTTACTAAGTGTCAGGAGCTGTGCTTATGATGGTTCTTCATCTATATTATGCCCACTAAGCATGGGTAAATCTTAAGGCCCTGTCTGAGGCCTTTTTTTCCTACACATTTTCTCATTTGGTGATATCATCTCCCATGCATTCAATTATCATCCCTATGCACTCAATTGCCAGATCTATATATCCAGCCCTAACGTCTCTACTGAGCTACAGACCTATATCATAAACTATCCTTTGGGTATTTTGAACTGCATGTCCTGTAGGCATCTCAAGTTCAACAGGTTCCAAACAGAACTGATTATCTTTCCCTCCAAGCATTCCTCTCTTTCAAAATTCCCTGTCCTGATGGAGGATGGCACCATCATCCTCCCAGTCACCTAGGCCTACCATTTCCATATCATCCTCAACCTCTCACTCTCACCTAACCTACAAAGCTGATCTATTACCAAATCTGGTCATTTTTCCCTTCACAAAATTTCTTGTCTGTGTTCCCTCCTCTCTACTCACAAAGCTGTCCCCCTAGACCAGGCCCTTACTACTTTCTGCCTGGACATTGATTGCAATGGCCTTCCAACTGGTCTCTCTGCCTCGAGACTCTCTCCACTCCAATCTCTCCTCCACTTAGCTGCCAAGATGACTTTTCTTAAGCACAGGTCTGACCATGTCATGCTCCTCCTGTTCATTGAGTCCCAGTGGTTCTTATTGCCTTCAGGATCAAATATAAAATTCTGCGTATGCGTTTACTTGGCTCTTCCTACCTTTCCAAGTCTTTTTATACTTTACTTCCCTATGATCCAGTCACACTGTCCTACTTATAGTGCCTTGAACCCAATACTTAATCACCTATCTCTATGCCTTTGCAATGGCTGTCCCCCACCCACCTAGGCAGCTAGGTGGTACAGTGGATAGAACCCCGGGCCTGGAGTAAGAAAGACCTGGGTTAGAGGCAGCTAGGTGGTAACACTTACTAGCTGTGTGACCCTTGGCAAATCACTTAACCCCGATTGCCTCAGCAGAAAGCGAAAAAAAAAACCAAAAACCTGAGTTCAAATCCAGCCTCAAACACTAGCTGTATGACCTTGGACAATTCATTTAACCTCCATTTGTCTCAGTTTCCTCAACTGTAACATGAGGATACAAATAGTACTTACCTAACAGGGTTGTTGTGAGGATCAAATGAGACAATATTTGTAGAATGCTTAGCACAGTGCCTGGCACATAGCAGCCACTATTTAAATGCTAGTTATTATTATTATTATTAACATTATGGGCCTAGAATGTGCAGCTCAAATCCTGTCTTCTGCAGGAGGCCTTGCCAAGCCCTCTCCCACTCCCAGCTACAGGGGCCTTCCCTCTGAGATTACCTTCCAGCTACTCTCTATATAAACTTGCCATGTGCCTACTTATTTATATATTATTTTGCTCGTTAGAATGTAAGCTCCTTGAGGGCAGGAACTGTGTGTTTGGGTTTGGGTTTTGTTTTTGCTTTGTTCCCCAGTGGTCAGAATAGTGCCTGATACATGGTAAGTGTTTAGTGAATGCTTGTTGACTGACGATGCTCAAAAGCACAGGGGTGAGAAAGTGTGTGAGACCTGACATGGGAATGGCAAGTAGTTCAGTCAAGCCTGAAACTGTCCCATCTTTAGGCTTTCTTTCACTGATAAACTTTTAGAAAGAGAAGTCAAAGCTTGCTGCCTCCATTTCCAACCAGCGGATCATTCCTCACCTCTCTGCACGCAGGATTCTATTACCTCCACAATCACTGACTTTGCTCTCTCAGATGTCACCAACAACTGTTTAATTACCAAACCCAATAGCCTCTTTTCGTGGTCCTCATTCCACAGCATGGGACCCTGCTGACCTCTGTCTCTCTGCTCTGCCCTTCTCCATACTCTGTTGGCTTCCATATATTATCCTGGCTGTCTTCCCACTTCTCAGGCTACTTTATTGGATCCTCTTCCTTCTCTGGCTCCTAAAAAACATTCTGCCTTTGATCTTCTCTCTCTACAAAGATTCTGCTTTGGTTTTCTCTCTCTAAATTCTCTTCCTTAATAATCTCAGATATTGTTGTGGCTTTAAGTATTAGCTCTGAGTGGATGGCTCCCAACTTTCTGTCTCCAGCACAGATGTCTCACCCGAATTCCATCTAGACCTCCATGTCCAAGTGGTTGCTGGACATCTCTTCACTGGTGTGTGGGCTCATAGCACAATCATGCTGTGGTTTTACAGCAGGAAGGTGCCTCAAAGGCCATCTAATCCAATACCTTCATTTTATAGATAAGGAACTAAGTGACCTGCCCAAGGTCACACAGGGCCTCTACCTGGTGACGCCTCTCCTTGGTAAAGGAGATGGAAAATAAATCAAAGGTGATTCCAAGGTTTCAGGCTTGGGTGACTAAGAAATAAGACGTGCTATTTGCTGAAAGGAAGTAAGTCAGGAGGACAACTCTATTTTAGAGGAGATGCCTTTTGCTGGAGCCTGAAATCATCAATAATCAGAATTAGATCTCCTTTGTGCCATCTTTCTAAAGACCCAATAATTAGGGCCATTCAGGCAGGAGAAAGATCGCTCTGTTGTGGCTTCAAAGGAAATCAATGAAAACTCTGAGTCATGCAACACCAAGCAGGTGACAGTCTGTCTCTGGGAGAGCAGGGGGGTGGAATACTAAACTTCTTTCAGGGGGGCTCCACAGAACAAGCTAGAAGCAAAGATAAGTGACAGTGGGGATAGTGGGGTGGGAGCACTGGAACTTTTTACTCAATGTAGCACCATTATCTCCTCCACCGTCAATCCAGTCTGCTTAATTAAGCCTGGGTCTTACCCTTCCCTTCTGCTCACTAAGGTCTTCAGCCCCTGGGTCAATAGTAAACATCCACCCCTCAGGCAGTGAGGACACTGGAAAAACCCAGAGGCAAGATATCTGACAGGTGACCTTATTCTAGAGGGAAGCTGGCATAGTCTTCTATATAAAACACAGAAGCCAGATCCAATTTCACACAGATAAGGCCTCTTTTTTAAAAAGTCAAAACAAAAAGAGGAGAGAATGGGGTGGGGGAATTCAAATCATTGGGTGAATGCATGCAATGGGAGACAAGGCCCTGACAATGGAAGCTCCCCAGGAAGATATCCCAAACACAAGAAACTTAGATTAAGAGGGATCTAAAGATCTTTCAGGTCTTCCATCTACCTACCTATCTGTCCATCCACACATATACATGTACGTATACTACATATATATAATACATCTATATTTTTCAACACCTACCATGTGTAATGTAGCCACACAATTCCCCTTATGCCCAGAATACTCACCTGCTCCCCAGATTATCTTGTGGCTGAAGCAGTGCCCCTTGGAGAAAGAGTCTCACTCCCCCTTTTCATTTTAGGGGGGACAGAGTGAGTCTCACAGGATGAGAAGGCACATATGGGCTGGGACTGACACGGCAAATTCCATGATCTCATCTTTTTCTCCCAAACCAATCCCTCTTCCAAACTTCCCTATTTTTATCAAGAGCACCACCAACCATCCTTCTAGTCACTCAAGTTCACAATCTCATCTTCTTCCCACTCCATGTTTAAAGAAGTGCCCAAGATGATCATTTTTACCTTCACAGCCCCTCTCGAATCCATCCCCTTCTCATCACTTACTCAGTCACCACTGTAGCTCAGGCCCTCATCACTTGGGCACTGTTGCAATAGCATAGAGCCTGGTACACAGTAGGCACTTAATAAAGGTTACCCTTCCATTCTTATTCTACATTACTCCCCCTCCTGTACTCTAGGGTGCAGCCAAACCACCCTTTTTTGCTTCACATTCATATGAAGAAACAACTAAAATATCCAAAGAGGATTAGGAAATTAAGATACCATCCCCGCTAGTAAGCTGCATCCATAAAACTGAGAAAAACTTCCTGCTAAGGTGAAATCAAAGGCAATCATTTCTGCTTATTATTTATGGTAAATATCTACCTACAGAGAAACAAGACTCCTGCTCAAAAGCTGTTATGTTCACTGACTATCATGACCTATTATTTCATTGATGTATTATGTCTTTCAATTAAAAAGCATCCTAATAATTAATTACTAACAAACAATTTTTATTTACAAATCCCCCCCATTCCCCGGGACATACATAGGGTTTTGTTTCGTAAGCAGAATAAATATTTTGTTGGCTTTATAGGTAGATAAATAAAATATTTTAAAAGTATTGTCTATTTCATCTTTATCTCATCCTTTAAAGTGTCTATATTGCATGTATGCTTTATAATACAGAATGTGAGTACAATCATATATGTATCTAATTTATAAATTAATAAATATACATATATTATGGGATACTCAAAAAATATTAGATTGATGGGGAGTACAATCAAAAAAGTTTGGAGACCACTGGGCTAGAGAGATTCATAGACTGAGAGCCAGATGCAGTATTTCTGGGTTAACAGCTTAGGCCAGGGGTGGGGAACCTGTGGCCTCGAGGCCACATGTGGCCCTTTAGATCCTCAAGTGTGGCTCTTTGGCATGTGGCCCCCTTGCTTCCCCACCCTTGGCTTAGGCCATCAGACAGATAAGTACCTAAAATCAAGCCCAGAATGTTTCTCCCCATTAGGTTCTGAGTACCCAGGTTCCTGCACCCCATCTCAGTGTACTCTCTACTTACCATCATCACTGGTATGAGGCTCTGTGCCATTGTCATGGTCAACCTCATCAATCGTCCCTGGTTCGCTATGCGGGCTGTCACTGCAATGAAACACGAAGAGGAGACTTGCATGAGACTTGTTGCTGGCAGCCTCACTGTATGCCAGCTCTGACCTCCTGCTTCAGACGAGTACCTTCTCTTCTCTCATCTTTCACGCACATAACTTGCCTACTCCCACTGAATCCTAGAGTTGGGAGGGACCTCAAAAACCATCTAATTCAATCTAATATGCTAACTAAACCTTTCTACTGCATCTCCACGAGGTGATCCAGCTTCTGGTAGAACCCCGTGATGGGGAACTTATTACCATATGGAACAACACATTCCTTCTTAAGACAGCTCCACTATTATGAAATTCTTTACACTAAGTAAAAATCTGCTTCCTTCTAATTTACATCCACTTGAATTAGTTCTGCCCTCTGAATTCGCAAAGAATAAGTTTAATTGCTCTTCCACATGAGAAATCTTCAAATAATTGAAGATAAAGACCATGATCCTCTTTTAAGTCTTCTCCAGGTTAGGCAGCCATAGTTATTTCAACCAATCCTCACATGGTATAGTAGGATGTAAACTCCCTGAGGGCAGGGACTATTTGTTTTATCCATTTTGTTTCTGTCTTGCACATGGTAGTCACTTAATAAATGCTCACTGGATTGGTTTGGATGGTGGGCTTTTGCCCAAACTAAGAAGTATAGAATCTTATACCTGGAAGGCAACTTACATCTTGTTATGTACATAGTAGCTCCATGTTGTCTTCCCCCATTAGAATGGAAAATACTTGAGGAAACAAATGTTTGTTGACTGACTGACTTAGAGAGCATTTCAGAGCCTAGAGAAGTCAACAGCAGATCAATCTGTACTATATTACCTGATGCCCAATTCCCAAGTTTAGGCAAGTCATTTAACTTTTCAGGGTCTTAGTTGCTTCATCTGTAAAATGGGGATAATAGTTTTTTACCTGCCCGGAGGAGACTAGATCAGGTCCTTTCTTCTCTAAGACTGATAGTTCTAAAGCTTTAATTTGGCTTCTGTCTCCTTGCCAAGAAGGAATCCCCAAGTCATTTATAGTCACTAAGATGGTGAAAGGCTTGGACAAGGAGTACTCATGAGAAGGCCAAAAGAACTGTTTGTTTAACCTTAAGAGAGAAAGCTTGTGAGAAAGGTGGGAGGGAGGCCGTAAATAATAGCCTGCAAGCCCATGGGTGATTACTACATAGGGGATATGGGTCAGCTATTCTCCATCTTCCCTGAAGACAGGCTTTTATACATTGGCAGAAGGTATTATTGAACAGGATCTTACCAATATTCTTCCCCTCCAGCCATACACTTCTCATACACTGGCCCTTCCAGTTCCCTGTGGCTGGGAAAGATGGCCTCATGATTGATAATGATGGTTTTGATGACTTCATTGACATGAGCCTGGCATGACACGGGGTCCTGTCCATCTGGGATATGCATGAGGGTTGGCCCAAAGCAGATGGCCAGGTTGTAGGGATCCATCATGTTCTCATCGCTATACTGGGACAGGCTGAAACAGAAGTCCCCATGAGATAAGGTTAGAGTAGTGATTTCTTTGATGGGGCAACTGGGGCTTTGTAGGGATGACAGCCATGACCTCTACCCTCAGTGGAATTTGAAAGCTATTGAAGGTGGTACTTTGGTAGGGATCGGGAAAGGAAAAGTAGCAGAATAAAAATACAGGATTCTACTATCTCCAGCAGAATTGTCCATGGACATTACCACCTTGGTTGGCTTTATATGAAGTAGATGTCTATTATACATGGCATGTTTTGAGGGGTTCTGAGAAGGCTTCTCCTAGTCAATATCTTTTCCAGCCAGGTGATGACAGTCATTAACATTCTACCAGTAGAGATCCATCCCTTTGGGTCATTTTTCCCCTACATATTTTTCAAATAGACACACATCTGGGCATTGGTATTGGGGTAGGAGATGGGGAGACAGAGACAGTAAATTAATTTCCACTGAATTATTAGTGACTACACATCTGGATTCCTCCTTTCTCCTCACAGGAACCCCAGAGGAAGCAGGATAACAGAACATAGAATGCGAATATAGAGGAAGAGGGTTACGATGAGGGAAAGGAAAGGGTCACCGAAGAGAGGTAGGGAATGCAGAAGAAAATCTTTGCCCCTTCCCATTTCCTCAGTGGGCCTGCTCCAGTGTGGGCCTCCAACACTCTCATAGACCCAGGGAGGAGGGATGGCAGATATGCTGATCCCCACCCCACCCCTCCCCACAGTGGTGAGAATCTGAGGAGATGGCCCTGGATCTTCCAAGTTTCTGTCTCAGCAAGATTGAGTCTCAGAAACATTGATGGTTTCCATACATCTCAAGCATCTTGCCATTAGGGCAGCTCCTACTTCCACCTTCCATTCTATGACTCTAAGAACTCAAGAAATAAATGTTAGGGAACAGTTCTCCATAGCTTCAATAATAAACATAGAAGGGTCCAAGGACCTCTTTCTCAAGGATGGGGCCAAACAGCATCTGAGCAGGTCACTCTACTTCTGGGAGGAGGCATGAAGGCACTTTAGGCGAGAGAAGGAAGAAAAATGCACTCACTGGTTGAGAAAAGCAAAGAGGTATCTCATGACCACGATGACCACTCGGGGCAAGGTGACAAGAATCTGCTGGATCAGGTGCACTCTCTCTGCGGGACTTTCCATTTCTATAACACAAGCCCCCCAGAACCCCCCACTAAAGTGAGATGCAGCTCAGTTGGCCCAGCGGGAGCACCCCGTCAGGACTGTGACCTCTGCTCCCCAGCCCAACCCCAACTTTGGATCATGTTTTGAGTGGCTCTGTTAAAGGGACAATAGTAAACTACTGAGTAGAGGAAACACCTCACTTCATTCATTTTACAATAGCCTTCATCACTTTTTCTCATTCTGAACTACAACTCTGGTAGTCTCTGCCATGCGATTGAGGCCTGAAAGATATACTGCCTTTACTATGCTTCTGGTGCACATGTCTTGTCTCCCCAGAAAGACTGTAAACCCCAAGAGGACAGGAGTCATGCCTTAAACTTCTTGGATTCTCCCACAGAGCCCAGCATCATGCCTTCCACAAATAGTAGATGCTTCCACGATTGATTCAATGATGCTGGAATTCCACTACATAAAATAAGGCACATGCCATCTTTATCATGCTGAAGGAAAATGCCAATAAATTAGATCCAAGAATTGATGTTCATGTAAACATGGCTAGAGCTAACAATGACAAAAGCATTTATTAAACACCTACTATGTGCCATGTATTGTGCTGAGGATGTAATAGAAAAAGTGACAAACTTAGAGTGCTGTACTTGGAATCATTAAACCTAAGTATGAATTCTGGCTCTGTGGCTTACCATCGGTATGACTCTGGGCAAGTCACTTAACCTCTCTGAGCCTAAGTTTCCTCTTTGATAAAATGAGTAAGGGTGAACTAGATGATCTCTAAAGGGACCTTAGCTCTGGGTATAGGACCTTTTAGTTCTAGGTCAATGATAGGATCATCTTATGATATAAAGACAAATTAAAAAACAGTCTTTGACCTCAAAGAGTTTACACTCTAATCCAAGTCAGAAGGGAACCTAGCCTCCTCTCAGAAAGTCCAGTTTGCATAGAAGCTCAGCTCCAGCATGCCCTTCTTTCTACCTTAGGCTTCTCCTGATGCCCCCAGCTAGTAGTGCCTCCCCCCTTCCTCCAAATTATCTGGTTTTTATTTTGAACATACCTATTTCTATACATTCTGTCTCTCTCAACAGAATGTAGGCTTCTTGAGGGCAAGGGCTCTTTCATTTGTGTCATCTTATCACCAGAGCCTATTATAATGCCTGGCACATAGTAGGTGCTTAACAAATACTTGTCGATCAATTGATGATTGTTCCACTTTGTTTAGACCAGTTTATAAGAATCCTCTAAGAAAGGTAGATGCCCCCATGAGCTTATTTTCCTAAAACAGTCAAAACTTGGTTTGAGGCCAGTTCAAAACGTAAGTAATTATCAACAGTTTCCTTCCCCCAGTAGGTGATTGTTGTTCTTCCTCTTCCTTTGGAGGTTTTTTGATTAATACCCCTTGCTCTGGGAAACTCCCCTTCCCACTCCATCTGTGAGTACTTACTGATTGTGGATATCAAATCTTGAAACCTTTCCTTGGGAAAGAGTGGGTTTTCCAGTCCTCGGAAATACAGCTTTAAGACGCCAGCCACTGAATTAATATCTCTTTCATTTTGGTCATCCGCCAGGGGATCTTCACCTGAACAGATATAGAAGATGACTTTTCAGTCTGATTAGACAGCAGGAATTGTTCAATTAGCTAGAACAGACGACCCCCAGGCCAGGGCTGATCAGAAAAGCAGCACGTGGGGTGGGAACTTTCCCTGTATTTTCCCAGCATGTCCTAACTTAATGGGCTCTTCCATCAAGCATCATCACACTGGGATGTACCACTCCTAAAGTCATTATGGAGTAGGGGAAGATGAGGAAATAAGGCTTCCAACTGTTTCTTGAAGGGGTTCTCAGAGTTCTAACAAAAACAGCAACAATAACTAACATTTATGTAGGGCTTTGAGGTTCACAATGTGTTTTACAAATTTTACCTCATTTTAACCTCACAATAACCTGGGAGGCAGGTGTTATTATCTCCATTTTACAGATGAGGAAAGATGAGGCTAAGTGAGTTAGGATCACACAGCTAGGAAGAGTCTGAGGCCACTTATCCAGGTACATTGCCCCTTCCATTAGGCCAGTGTTCCAGGAGAATATAATTATTCCTAAAGGTAGGAGGGTAAGATAGGGATGGTTCTTTGAAAGCCCTTCTCACAACTCTAGAATCATTATTCTCTAATTAGATTAATAATAATTAAATCTGCATAATATTTTAAGGTTTACAAGGCACTTTACAAATATTACTGCATTTGAGTCTTACGACAGCCCTCTGAGGCAAGTACTACAGGTATTACCAACCCCATTTTATAGATGAGAAAACAGAGACTTAGAGATGTTAAGTGATTTGCCCAGGGACATGCAGTTAATAAGAGGCAAAGGCGGGATTCCAAGCCAGGCCTTCCCGACTCTAAGGTCAGCATCGGAGCCTCTATACCTTGTACCTAATTAGAAAGCAGCACACCTGAGAATGACAAGGAAATTGACTCAACACTCATCTCTTAGAAATACTCACTTATATTTTTAGCTTGTGCTCCATTCACCTAGGGAGGCAACAGGCAGTAAAGGAAATAAATCCAGCTTCCTTTCCTACATTCCTCAGCTTCCAGGTTTTCGAAAACCTGCCTCAGCCTTGAGATGACAAATTTATGCAATTCCCCTTCAAGAGAGGCATTCGCCAGGGGTGACACTCCAAGGATGAGGTTTTCTAGCCAGCTAAGCCAAGCACCAGTTTTTAAAGTCGAGGTTAAAAAGTCCCATCTGGCCAAGCCCCCACCAAAGAAGAGGAGCAGAACTAGGAAGGGCAGTGTGGGCAGTGGACTCAGGTGCTGCTCAGAAAGAGATGCACGGAGATGATGTTTGGGAAGTACCTACCGTGTGCCAGGCACTACACTAAGCATTACAGTCACTGGTATATGTGTCCTATTTTTCATCAATACTGTAAGTTATAATTTGATTTATTAAAGTATTAAAAATATTAGGTATTTCTTTAAAATATGCTATGATGGGAAGGGAGACAAGAATAAGCATCTATATAGCATCTCCTATGAGCCAAGTGCCTACTGTGTGCCATACGTTTCACATATCTCCCAAACCATGGGATGTCCTCCCTCCTTCCTGCCCATCTGTTTCCCTGTCTCTCCTTTTATTCCTGTTGTACTCCATAATCTGCCATCTGAGCACATAACTTTTTCACATTATTCTTTAATTGTTTCAAGCAAGTGACTCTTTCCTCCTCAACCAGGTTGCGATCTCCTTACGGAAGAGGGTTGGATCCCAAACTTCTTTCCCAGTCCCCATTGAACCTAGCCCAATACCTACCCACCCATACCTATATAGTAAATTCTACGTACATAGTTATTTATATGTTGTCTCTTCCATTAGAATGGGTGCTCCCTGAGGACATGGACCCCATTTTCATTTTCGTTTGTGTTCCCAGGGCTTGCCACTCTAGAATGGCTAAATAAATACCTGAACTGACTGATAAGCTACGTAAGATGATAATGGCTATAAAGCACTTTATTTGTTTTTGGGGGTTTTTGGAGATTTTTTTGCTTTTTTTTGGTGAGGCAATCGGGGTTAAATGACTTGCCCAGGGTCACACAGCTAGTAAGTGTCAAGTGTCTGAGGCCAAATTTGAATGCAGGTCCTCCTGACTCCAAGGCTGGAGCTCTATCCACTGTGCCACCTAGCTGTCTCTTATAAAGTACTTTAGAAACCTAAAAGAGATGATAGATAGATAGATAGATAGATAGATAGATAGATAGATAGATAGATAGATAGATGGATGGATGGATAACTATATATCCAGACTGATAGATACTTTGAGACATCAATTTTTATTTGTATTACCCTTGGAGGTAGCTGTATCTGTAAACATGAAGGACAATAATGTAGATGGACATGTGAGGTTCAGAGATGGTCGAATTGTGAAAATAAAACCATGGCAGTTTGGGAAGCAAATTATCACTCAAGCATCAAGTTAAATCTTCCTAATTGTTTTACCTACTTCAGGTTTCCTTCTTAAGTCTGCTGCAGGCTGTATGGTGATTTTCTAGAAACGCTTTTTTTTTTTAGTTTAAGACTGATGGTAGCAGTAAATTAACCATTATAAAAAGATATATTTAGAGAATCAAAGACTTATTGAGAAGATTAGAGATTATCTCATTCAAACTCCTTTTATTGAAGACAAAACTGAGGTCCAGAGACAGTAAGTACTCTACTGTCTTGTCTGCCTGTAATTCAGTTAAGTTTCCTTCTTAACACTACTAGAATATGATGGTTTCCTAGAATTTTTTTTAGGTTTAAGATTAATGGAAGAGGTAATCAATGTGCATAGGGAGAATATAAGACATATTAAGATGAAGGGGACCTTAGACATCACTTCATTCAACCTCCTTTTACAGAAGACGAAACTGAGTCTCTGAGATGGTTATAATCTGCCTGAGGTTATAGAATGAGTTAGTGGCAGAGCTAAAAATCCAGATCTCCTAACCTCCTTTGCAGAGAAACCAACCAGAGTGAGAAACAATAGGTCTCTTCACTCGATGTGGAATCTGTTCACTTTGAAAAGTGCTAGAAAGAAGGGAAAACGGTGCTCCTTGCCAATGGCCTCATCCACAAAGTTGGAAGGAACCACTTCTGGATTGGAGGAAAAAATGAATGAGATCATAATTTCTTCTAAAAAGAGTTGAACAGTTAGCATCCTTAAGAGATTCAAGTGGAGGATTTAAACACCAAACAATTACCAGGGAAACACACAGCATGCCGGTTTGGGGAGAATTTAGTCACAAGCTAGAATGTGTGGGATGTGAAGAGTGGGTGGGAAAAGCGATACAGAGACATGTTAAGACCATCTGGTTGCCAGGGAGATGGCACCACTAAAGGTGACCCAAAATAGGAAACTTGGAATCAGAAAGAAGATGAAAGCTGGAAAAGAGATGGAATGATTGTGTCCTGGAGGGTTAGAAAGGATAATGAGCAAAACATACCAGACTCTTTGGTGGGCAATGCTGAGAAGCAGAAAGTAGCAAGGCTGGGGATTGGGACTTGATTATCCCCCACAGAGAAAGGAGACAAATGTTTCTAAAAGAGAAATTCTGGGAGGTCATTCTTGACAAGCAATCAGTCAGTGTAAGAGCTGGTCAAGGCCAGGCAGCAATGACTTGAAGAGGGTGAAGTATATTTGAGGTGGAGAGGGACAGCTGGGGAAAGGAAGGGGAAGGAAGGGAATAAGCATTTATTAAGTACCAACTAAGTGCCAGGAACTGTGCTAAGCACTTTATAAATATCTCATTTGATCCTCATTACAACTCTGCTATTATTATCCCCTTTTTATAGTTGAGGAAACTGAGGCAGACAGAGACTAGGTGATTTGCTCCGAGTCATATAGTTAGTAAGCATCTGAGGCCTGATTTGAACTCAGGTCTTCCTGACTCGAGGTCCAGCATTCTATCCACTGGGCCATCTAACGAGGAGGGCAAGAAGGCAGAAGTGGTTATGTGGGAAGGGGCTAGTGTTGGAAAGAATGCCATGGCCATCATCTTATGAAATTGATCCAGTGGAATGGGCTGTGCCTGAAGCCTGCTTCAATTTATTATAAACAGGGGAACTATTCAAAATTCTTCAGCATCACTACAGGGAGGCCTCTCACTACATGACAGGACCAGGTACTGGCCTTGGAAAACGATGCTTCCAAAGGAAAGAATTTCTCAATACTGAGGAGTACAAAGGATAACTGTATCAGTATAAGGAACAAAATGATCAGATTTCTGGGCTGGGCTGTCTAGGGAGCTCACTATCATTGGAAGTGTTCAAACAGTACTCTGATGACCAACTTATTCTCAGAGATGCTCTAGTAGGGGTTGTTACATGGGGTGAAAGTTTGCCAATAGTTCTTACAGTATAATCTAGGGATCCCTGGGAGGCCCCAAGACCCTTTCAGAGGATCCTCAAGAACAAAACCATTTTCAAAACAAAAATAAGATGTTTTAATTTCTTTTTTGTTGTTGTTTAGTCATTTTTCATTCATGTACCACTCTTCATGACCCCATTTGGGGTTTTCTTGGCAAAGATATTAGTGATTTGTCATTTCCTTCTCTAGCTCATTTTACAGAAGAGGAAACGGAGGCAAACAGGATTAAGTGATCTGCCCAGGGTCACACAGCTAGTAAGTGTCTGAGGCCAGATTTGGACTCAGGAAGATGAGTCTTCTTGACGCCAGACGTGGCACTCAATTCACTGCACCACCTAGGTGCCCGTTTAATTTGTACTAGAATAAATATTGATAGATATAAACCACATACCCAAAAGCTCTTCCTGAGAGGAGATCCTTAATAAATTTTAAGAGTGCATAGGTGTCCTGAGACCAAAAAGTTTAAGAATCTCTGGATTAGATGACCTCTAAATTCTTTGTAACTCTAAGAACCTGTGTCGCAAGCACCTGGTTTTGGGGGCATATCCTTGTAGCTTATCTGTCAGTTGCAAGCTAGACACTCATGACTTGGAGTATGCCAGGAAATTGGAAAGATATTGTACATGGAAGTCAAGATGCCCAAAATGCAACATTTAGCCTAGTGGTTCAAAGTATGT